AACATCGATCCTCCTCCAGCAAGGCACGGTTCTCCAAATTTACCACCCTATCTTGTTGTCCCAAGATTTCCTTTCCAACAAAGTGTCTCGAAATGCCGTAAGCTCGGCTCCAATACAGAAACAGGTCCATCTTGTACCTCCCACCAAAATCAGAATGAAGTACCTTCACCTTTCTGTCTATCATACACTTCTTCAATTTGTTAGAGACTACTAGGACTTTCTCCATAGGGGATTTGGTTGTAACCCAAACACGTCTAGAACAGTCACCAACAAAGAAAACCAAACTTCTATTACCTCCCAATGATGCCCCCTTGGAAGGCCCCCAAACATCCACGTGAACTCCTCCAGAACGATCCTTAGCACGGTGAATAGATGTGCCAAACTTCACCTCGGTCTTCTTGCTCACATCAACATATTCACTGGACTTCAAAGTGCAGGTCTTCGCACCCTCTTTCAATCTATGCGAGGAATCAATACTGGAATGGCCAAGCCCCAAATGTCGCAGTCTAGTCGAATCAATAGAAGTTGCCAGTTCTCCACCTGCCACTATACCTCCATTCAAGTAATACAGATTATTTTTCCTGACGCCCTTTATTACAATCTGAGAGTCTTCCACAATCTTGAGAACCATGTCCTCAATTCGAACATTCAGACCCTCTCCAACCAAAGCTCCAATCGAGATCAAGTTCTTCCTCAAAGAAGGAACATATCTCACATCATTTAACTCTCTAACAGTCCCATCAAACATTTTCATGCAAATTCTTCCTATCCCAAGGATCTGACATGCACGGTTATCAGCCATGTACACCACACCACTATCGAGCTTCTCAAAACTGGAGAACTATTCCCTTCTAGGGAACACATGATAGGTCGCATCACTATCTAATATCCACTCGGATTCCTCCGAATAGCTACATGTAGGACTGATAGAAAACGAATAAATAGAAGAGTCAGAAATATTACCATCCGATACGATATTTACTTCTGATGATAGTTGCTTCCCTTTTTCCTTCTACTTATTCTTCATCCATTCGTCGAGCTTTGGGCGGTCTTTCTTCCAATGACCAGTCTCCTTGCACCAAACACACTGATCTTTTCCAATTGTAGGATGTCCGACTCTAGACTGTGATTTCCAATTCTTTCGGTTTGGACCTTTCCCTCTTGCGGCCAACGCCTCTGCTACCGACTCAGTCGAAGTATCCTTATCCTTCTTCTGAAGCTGATAATTTACCAGTGCAGTAGTGACCTCACTATACGAAAGAGATGTCTTCCCATTAATCAGAGTAAGAACAAATGTCTCATATTCCTCATCGGGCAAGGAACTCAACAACAGCAACGCCTTGTCCTCATCTTCAATCTTGACATCCATATTCGTCAAATCCGTAAGAAGCTTCGTGTAGTGATTCATGTGATCTCTAATTGAGGTTCCTTTTTTTAACTGGAAATGATAAAGTCTTCTCTTCAAATGCAAGTGATTCTCAACACTCTTTGTCAGATACTTGCTTTCGAGAATCTTCCAAATCTTCTTCGCAGAAGTCTCATTCATCACATCATATTTTAGATCTTGAGTCAAACAAGACCTAATCACACCACACGCCGTTTGATTTATTTTCTTTCAAACCTTCTCTTCAATGTCATCTGGCTTGTCATCTAACTTCAAGGTATCCTCCAAATTCTGCGCGTCCAGCGTATCCAAAACCTCGCATCTCCATAATCCAAAGTTGTTTGTGCCATTAAACTTCTCCACATCTATCTTCATAGAGTGGATATTCAAACTCTGAATGGTCTTCGTGCCAGAAGCACCACCCTCGACACCCGAAGCACCTTCTTTCCTCGACATCTTTCTCAACGCACCAACGAATGAAAAATATATTCAAAACTGAAAAGATTGAGTCTTTTACCAAAAGATCCAACATTTATCACCAAACAAAGCCCTAGACGAGCTTTCAAATCGATCTACTCCTCCAAATAGCCCAAGCGTAGCTCGAGCTCTGATACCACTTGTTGTGCGCAGCGAAAATTTCGGCAGAGTTTCTGGTGCACAATAAGAGAGGAAGATCTCAATAAGAATTTCCGTCTCACTAAGGAAATAAGAATCTGAAGCGAATATCTCAACAAAGTGAGATATCGGCTCTTTCTCTCATCAGTTCTAGGATTGACTTGTCGAGAGATCCTAAAAACTATTATAATGGTCATAAATACAAACAAACCAATTTTACGTGGTTCGACAAACTGTCTACGTTCACGGAGTAAGGAGGGGGAGATCTACTATTAGAGAGGAGAGAATACAACTAGGGTTTACAATCACTCAATTTAAACTCTAACACAATCTCTCAAACCTCTCACACAATTATCTCTCAAAAGGGAATGCACAAAACCCTAGAACAGCTGCACACAAAAAAAAAACTCCTCATCAAAATAGCCGAAAAAAACAATCTGCTTTTTCTCCAAGCCCAGCCGTCTTTCCCTTCTGCTATGCACCTTTTTCTCCTCCTGTACACCGAAAAGAAAAAACCTACTTGTTAGGTTTTATAGCTCTCAAATCGAGTTCGGGTGGGCCAGGCTTTGATTGTTCTCGGGAACACCTCACACGGAAGAAGGAAAAAAAAAGGACGCATGTTGTGGCCCCCACTACGTCTCATTCACACAGTGTGTAAAGCGATTATGTAGGTGTTCAATTCTAAATTCCTTAAAAAAAACAACACACACAGATATGTAACTATTTTAGGGGCCGTTTGGTTGGCTAAAAAAACAAGGAAATCAATTATAAGAAACATATTTTCTATAATAGATTCTTTTCTTGTGTTTGGTTCACTTTTTAAAACTAAAAAAAAGATGAGATGGGATGAGTTATCACCATATTATTAGATGATGTGACTCATTTTTAAGGAAACCCATTTTATAATTTTTTGTGAGAAAATAAATGAAGATTAACTTTTAATAGTTTACTTATCGTATTTACTTTTCTTTTAATTTTAGAAAATCAACCAAACAGACCCTTAGCCTCAATACTCGTACCAAAAAGAGAAGATACTGCAAAATTTAAAAGCTGTACGTGGTACACCCAAAGATCAAAGCTTTAATTCTCCGTGGTTCCACTTGTAAAGACTAGGACAGAGATGTACAAAGGGCCAGTCTCCTTTTTGAGTAGCAGGTACTGCTGACTAGTCAACTTCTGCGGAGTAATTTTGTTTGTGCATGGTCCAAGAAATGATTAGGAATTGGACTGTTAGGCGTAGTATCTTAGATGCAGGACCAATGTCTATATCAGTGTCTGTGCATGAACAGCTTGTACTCAAAATAGACAAACTTCAACCGCGAAAATCAATTTTTTTACAAATTTTACTGTCAAAATGATGGGTTCAGAACGAGTGTAAATTCTCTCATGAAAATTAATAACGGATGTTTAAACCATTATTCCATTCTTGAATACAAACTTCATCAGACATTTGCATACGGCTAGGATATTCTCAGCTGTTCATACTCTTTTGAGCGCAAGCGACTATGCTAGTGTGCGGAGTGTTCCGATAAGATTTGTATTTTCGACGGACTGGATGATCTTACACGGATGTTTAAACCATTATTCCATTCTTGAATACAAACTTCATCAGACATTTGCATACGGCTAGGATATTCTCAGCTGTTCATACTCTTTTGAGCGCAAGCGACTATGCTAGTGTGCGGAGTGTTCCGATAAGATTTGTATTTTCGACGGACTGGATGATCTTACACAGTGAGGGAGACTGTCTCTGCTTTTCTTTTGGAGCTCTCCGAGTCTGACCCCAAGCGAAGAAAGTAAGAAAGAGGATAAGGAAAAAAGGGGTACTTAATTCTTGGGCCTCTCTCCAATCTCCCCTTTTCATCTCTGAAACCAACGCAATCTTGGTTTACTTGCTTTTGTGTTGGGGGAGTTAGTAGTGAGCATTTCACTGTGTCTTCACTTGTTCTGTTTAGGATTTCGTTCGCTGCTATTTAATGCTTTAGAGAGGGCCAACTCGTAGAAATCCTAGAGAATATTTCTTTCTTCTTTTTTTCTTGTTGCCTTTACTGCAAATAAAATAAAAAGAAAGCTATTGATATCTTGATCCCTTTGCTCTTCACATGATCTGGGGTTTGTTTATGTTTGAGGAATCTCAACTTTTAGTTGGTGGGTCTAATGAATTGGGATTGTTCTCCTTCCTTTGTTCCTCAGATTTTGTCCAATTCGGTTGAATAGATCTCTTTCTTATTCAGCGTGAGATGGATTTAGGTGAAAAGGATGAGTTTGGGCTAGTGAAAAGAGCTGCAGATCATTTGAACTGTCACGCTGACTGGCAATTTGATCCTTGTTCGATAGAAAACCCAATGAATTCCTCTTCTTCTCAGTGCCCATCAGATTCCATGGTAGATTCTTTCAGTTCTCCCCTCTACAACCAGCAAGCAAATCCACAAATCTCAGTCGGAAAGTCGCTTCCAATGAGTTGGAATCCGTCGGTTCTCCCCCCGGGAGTCTCCTTTTTGAGTAGCAGGTACTGCTGACTAGTCAACTTCTGCGGAGTAATTTTGTTTGTGCATGGTCCAAGAAATGATTAGGAATTGGACTGTTAGGCGTAGTATCTTAGATGCAGGACCAATGTCTATATCAGTGTCTGTGCATGAACAGCTTGTACTCAAAATAGACAAACTTCAACCGCGAAAATCAATTTTTTTACAAATTTTACTGTCAAAATGATGGGTTCAGAACGAGTGTAAATTCTCTCATGAAAATTAATAACGGATGTTTAAACCATTATTCCATTCTTGAATACAAACTTCATCAGACATTTGCATACGGCTAATTCCCATCTATTTCACTATACAATAACAACATAAACAAAGTTATAACTATTCAATAAACTTGAAGATTTCAGTGAAGGGAGGCAGAGGGTTATAAAGGAGGAAGGAATCTGAAGTTGGGCATCTTTACTTCTTTTTCACTTTTAGCTGCGTGTATGTATGGCTGTGTGTTATATGAATTCCCATCTATTTCACTATACAATAACAACATAAACAAAGTTATAACTATTCAATAAACTTGAAGATTTCAGTGAAGGGAGGCAGAGGGTTATAAAGGAGGAAGGAATCTGAAGTTGGGCATCTTTACTTCTTTTTCACTTTTAGCTGCGTGTATGTATGGCTGTGTGTTATTGTTTTCTTTGCACTGACTCAACAGTGAGGGAGACTGTCTCTGCTTTTCTTTTGGAGCTCTCCGAGTCTGACCCCAAGCGAAGAAAGTAAGAAAGAGGATAAGGAAAAAAGGGGTACTTAATTCTTGGGCCTCTCTCCAATCTCCCCTTTTCATCTCTGAAACCAACGCAATCTTGGTTTACTTGCTTTTGTGTTGGGGGAGTTAGTAGTGAGCATTTCACTGTGTCTTCACTTGTTCTGTTTAGGATTTCGTTCGCTGCTATTTAATGCTTTAGAGAGGGCCAACTCGTAGAAATCCTAGAGAATATTTCTTTCTTCTTTTTTTCTTGTTGCCTTTACTGCAAATAAAATAAAAAGAAAGCTATTGATATCTTGATCCCTTTGCTCTTCACATGATCTGGGGTTTGTTTATGTTTGAGGAATCTCAACTTTTAGTTGGTGGGTCTAATGAATTGGGATTGTTCTCCTTCCTTTGTTCCTCAGATTTTGTCCAATTCGGTTGAATAGATCTCTTTCTTATTCAGCGTGAGATGGATTTAGGTGAAAAGGATGAGTTTGGGCTAGTGAAAAGAGCTGCAGATCATTTGAACTGTCACGCTGACTGGCAATTTGATCCTTGTTCGATAGAAAACCCAATGAATTCCTCTTCTTCTCAGTGCCCATCAGATTCCATGGTAGATTCTTTCAGTTCTCCCCTCTACAACCAGCAAGCAAATCCACAAATCTCAGTCGGAAAGTCGCTTCCAATGAGTTGGAATCCGTCGGTTCTCCCCCCGGGCCTCCCCAACTTCCCGGCTGATTCGGGTTTCATCGAGAGAGCTGTGAGGTTCTCTTGCTTCAATGGAGGCAATTTCAGTTCCATGGTGAACAGCCCTTTTGCTCCAAGTGAGCAGTTGAGCCCATATGCTTCAAAAGGTCCTTCAGAGTCCCCGAGTCCAATTAATGATGATCAAAGAGATAACAAGAGGGTCAGCGACGAGGCGGGCGAGGTTGAGTTCAGTGGAGATGTGCAGAAAAATTCTTCCTCTATAGGAAATGCTGCTAAGAAAAGTAAAAAATCCAATTTGGTATGTTACACCACTAAGATGCATTTGGTCTTTTATTAGATTGTCAAATTTGTGATGCTTGTGGGTCTTGTTAACTGTAGGATATGGAGTTGGACCAAGTACAAGGAGTTGACGCCACAAAGGAGAATTTGGAAAGTAAGCAGAAAGGGGAGCAAAATAGCTCAACGGGAGCTGCTACTAAATCTTCAGGAAAAAATGCGAAGGATGGAGCAAATGGTGCCAAGGAAGATTACATTCATATCAGAGCTCGGCGTGGCCAAGCAACTAATAGTCACAGTCTTGCAGAAAGGGTAAGGATTTTACCGAATAAATCTGTTTATCGAGTTTTTTTTTAATGATTAACTGATGGGTTTGCGTAATTGGTTAATGTTATAGGTGAGGAGAGAAAAGATTAGCGAACGGATGAAGTTCCTTCAAGAACTTGTTCCTGGTTGTAGTAAAGTAGGTTACTTTATTTACTTGGGTATTTCGATTTTGTAAAAACTTTTCTTTAGTTGAATTTTAATTATATATTTTGAACTTTAGGTAACTGGGAAGGCAGTCATGCTGGATGAAATCATCAACTATGTGCAATCACTACAACGTCAGGTCGAGGTATGATTCATGTGTGTCCATAGTTATACTGAGCTTCAATAAAGAACAATGAAGCAATTATTCTTCTTCTTCTTGCCAGTTTCTGTCAATGAAACTTGCAGCTGTGAATCCAAGACTAGATGTCAACATAGAAAGCCTTTTATCCAAAGATGTAAGTAACGTCCCACAGAAATTGAATTTTTTTTAGTATAATTTATTAATTTGTGATTTTTTTTCTTCTTGTCCATTATTAACAGCTTCTTCAATTGAGGGGAGGTTCGTCATCTGCTATCGGTTTCTTGCCAGAAATGATTCATCCTCAGTCGCATAATGCTCAACAGGATTTGCTTCAAGCAGGAATAGCTGGCATGGGTAACCCCTCAGACACAATTAGAAGAGCACTGAATGCTCAGCTTACTTCGATGAGTGGATTCAAAGAGCCTCTGCATCAGGTTTTTTTTTTTCCTACTTGTTCACATTTTCATCCATCATTTAAACAAGGCAAAGTATTAGGATATGTATTCCATTACATGTTTTTGAATTAGTAAGAGCTTCTATATTGATCGTAACTTCAATTTGAAGTCAACTTTTCCTGCTTATTCACGGATTTCTCCGCGGTTTAAAACAATGCGACATTTCATTTTGTTGCATATTTGTGGAGTGATAACAATTTCTATATGGATAACAACTTTGAAACCTAAAATTTAGCATAATTTGGTACGCCTAACTCACCAGAGCAACGAATTAGAACCTAATGTAGCAAGCTCACCTTCCAGAGAGGTTCAGGAGCAGGTAATAGTGAACGACTTGCTTTATTAGTCCAAATCTTGCATGTCACTTTGAGATTACAATTATGATTTGTTGAAAGAAGCAATACACCATTTCTATCAACAAATAGGATACATTTTATTAAGAATTCATTCAGCTGCAAGCTATTATATTTTTTGTAGGCATTAATATTCCAGAATCGATTACCGCACCCTGAAATCTGAAGCTTAAATGAACATTTTTGCTTGTCTAACAAGGTTTTTCAGAGTGGTATTGAGGGGCGTCCTGCATGAGGGTTGTATGAGCCTAGAAGAATAGATACTCTAGTCACAGTTAGCTGTTAACTTTAACCCTAATCTTTATTGTAATCATAGTAGGAACTTTAATCATACTGTCAGGGTGGGGTTATTCAAATGGAAGTTTCTCTTAACTTACCGTGCATGTTTTATTAGTACCTTGCAGCCTTTTGATGCTCTTTATAAACATGTTGAAGCCACAATAATAATGAACTACAGGGAATTCCTCCCTAATTATGCTGTCGTCTGCATCAATCCTCCTCCTTTTCCCCCTAGGACTCATTCCATAGTTATCTGACTAACTTTAATTTGAGAATCCAAGGGAAGACTGAATTCTTTCCAGGACTTCATCGAGAAATTGGCATACGTTACTGCAGATACGAAGCAAATTAGTAGACATAGATAGTTGGGTTTATTAAGTACTTTATCGACATGAGATACTACTTTTCCATTAAATAACTATGATACATATTCCAACTACTCCAACCTATTCAGCTTGTTTACTTCCTTAGGTTCAAAATCTTATGTCACATTGCTAATGAGCTAGAGTTTAACAATTTAATTCATGTACAGTTCCTAATTTTGCCTTCTGTTTCTTGAAGATGCCAAATTCTTGGGAAGATGAGCTCCATAACATCGTTCAGATGAACTTCAGTTCAAATCCCGCCTTCAACCCCCAAGACTCAAATGCTAAACCTCAAAACTATTGATTGCTCTTTTCTGCAGAATTCAAAACTGAGGTTGCGGTTGAAAATTTGCTGCTTGTATAGCTGGAGGCAGTTAAGACGTAACTTTGATGTCG